TACAAATTGGGTTCAGTGTGTACTGCTCAGGTGATGGATGCACCAAAATCTCACAAATCACCACTAAAGAACTTACTCATGTAACCAAATACCACCTGTTTCCCCAAAATCTATGGAAATAATTTTTTTTTAAAAAAAGAAAACATTCATTCAGGCTTCTTTGAACAGCTTCTTTAAAGAGGCTAGGTCATCTTCAGTCATCCCCAAAGTAATCTTAAATTCTAAGCCAACAAGAAGGAACCAAATTTTTGACTGATGTTCACTTTGGAGAGCAAATTGTTTTGAGATTAAATATACAATTACAATGGCTATACATCTGTATGACAAGCATATAGTTTAGAGTAACACAATTCACATGTGTCCTATGGTTTTGCCACTTTATAGCACCTGGCACATAGCTTCAGTATTTTGAATGATCCATCTAGGGACCAATGTATCTTTGATGAGCTACCATTGATCATCCTTTAGTTATAGAATATCAAATGCTTATCACAAATGTAATTGTTCATTATTTCCTGTTGAAAAATATGACCTGCTCTTATCATCTATTTTGTGATGCTGTTTCCAGTAACGCTTGCAAAAATCAGGGGCCACTTATTAAGGAAGAAGTCTAGGTTAAATCATTCATAGTGCAAATAGTCACTCCTCAAATCATATCTTCTAAGTTTACATTTTCAGATAAAGGACACCAGGAAACGTTTGACTTTATTCTTTGGTCATAACAGCACCGTGGGGAGCACTTTCCACTTCACTAGAATACCCATTTAGATGATGACCACGTTACTTCTTTCAAAGAGCTTCAAAACATGTTTACAGAATGAATGGCCTGTACCAGATAAGGATTATTTCCAACTTAGGATTCATGAGTCCATAAACTACCAAGACAGGTACTTACTAGGTACATGCCTCAATACGTTAGAGGAAGCAAAAAACAAAAACAAAAACAAACAAACAAAAAAAGACAGACTGACAGATTCAGGTGTTAATTAGGCCACATCAAAAAAATATTGATATGCTAAGAACTAAAAGGCATTCTTCATGAGCACTTCACTCAATGTGGCTGTTTAGGTTTGAGGTCACTAGCAATTTGTCCACTAATGAATTCCAACTGTGCTCTATGAAGTCAACTCATGAAAGGAACAAGTCAACATTCACTGTTCCCAAAGTTTAACTAAAGTCAATGACTAGTGAGTTGTTTCAGGCTGGGCCTAGTGCAAGATGTATCTGTGCCCCTCAGACCTCTGACTGCAGGGAGCGTAGCTGACCACTGAGCTCTGAAATTCAACACTACTGCAACTGAAATCCAACGTGGCTGAAACCCACCATCCATCACTGCATTTTCACCAAAACCAAACTTTCTACAGGCATCTCTCGGTGTGGCAGAGACACTAAGGCAGACCATTTCTACGAAGCAAAGGACTCCCCTAACACGTGACTTTGGGTCAGGGATACCGTCAAGGAAGAGCTCCCACCTCATAGAGAATGACCAGGAGAAAACCTGCCATTTCTTCATCATAGGTGTAGAACATAGACAGTGAAATTTAATGGGCTCAAACAAAACAGTTTATTACAACACAGCAAGCAACATGAGCATCAGTGTGTTTTTTCCAGTTCGCCTGCCCCCAAGTGCCACAGGACAATGCAACAGGTTCAGATGGACGCTACGCATACAGGCAGTTGAATTGCAACCAAGGAACCTAGGATCAAGGGGTTCAGGACTTTTTGGGTTATAAGCAAAGTAGCCAATGTCCCTCCCCTGGGAAGTGAGCAGTTAAATAGTAGTCACACTGTGGTCACCTTGCCCTACTTGGTTGCCTGTGTGACTGTTTTGCTGAAAGTTTTACTTTCATCATTTTGGGTTTGAGGATTCACGAGCAAAAGAAACTGCAATATTATACTCAAATGCAGTTAAAAGTTTAATGACCAACATAACAAAAGAGTATAATAGTTAACTTAGCAAAAGCTAAAGTAGGAGAAAAGGGAAAAGGAAAAGGAAAAGATGTTTTGTTTTTGGTTTTTTTTCAACAAACTGGGGAGAATACCTACATCCAGATCAAGCAGTGCTGGGAAGTCCTGGATACAGCCATCTGGAGTCCCAGTTGGAACAGGTCCCCGGAAGTGTGTCCACTCCATGAGTGAGGCTTCAGAGAGCAATTGGAGAGTCCTGGCTTATATTACCAGAGTGAACCACAAGGTCTGAAGGACAGCCACGGGGGCTTTACCTTCAGGAAGTTCTAGAGATGGATAATGGAACATGGTGTCCCTAGGAGCAATAGTCAACAAGGGTGTTGCTCACTATCTACAAGCTGAAGAGGAGTGGAGGAGCAGGAGGCTACGGGAGCTTCCCCCAGTAAAAAGTCCTACTTCCTTGCTTAGCTGCCATACTTCAGCCGGTTTTCAGGTCTGGAAAGAGGTGGCTGGATCCCTGGGAAGGACAATGGTGAGTATGCAATGATTCACCCAGTACTTCCCCAAAGGGACCTACAGCCACTTACTTGGGGATATGTACACTGGGGAAAGAATACTCAAACATTCGGCGGAACACTGGACCCAAGATCTAAGTTGACTGATACCTAGAGACAGGAAGCATCATCACGGCCCTGGTTAGACTGGGGGCTTATGGAGGCCAAGTGATAACTGAAGTGCTGGCCAAAACAGGATTCACAGTGGGCCTGCTGCTGACCCAGTCAGTGATCATTTCCTAGCCCTAAGTGTGTAATTGGAATTGACCTGGCAGTGGGAGTAATGCCCCCATGGCTCCTTGGTCTGTTGGAGTGAGAGCTGTCATAGTGAAGAAGGCCATGTGGAAACCTCTGAAGCTCCTCCCCCGAAACCCCTCCACAGACAGGATAGTAAACTGTGATGGTTAGTGTTGTGTGTCAGCTCGGCTTAGGCTACAGTACCCAGTTGCTTGATCAAACACTACTCGGTGTTGCTGTGAAGGTACAGTAATCCCCCCATCTGTGGTTTCAATTACCTGTGGTTAACCGTTGTTGGAAAATATTACATACGTGAGATATTTTGAGAGACACTCCATTCGCATAACTTTTATTACAGTATATCGTTATAACTGTTTTACTGTTATTGTTGTTAATCTTATTGTACCTAATTTATAATTTAAACTTTATCATAAGTATGTATGTATAGAAAAAACATAGTATATTTAGGGTTCAGCATTAGCCAGTTTCAGGCATCCACTGGGGGTCTTGGAACGTATCCCGTTGGTAAGGGGGGAGTAGTGGATTGTGTAGATGTGGTTAACATCTATGATCAGTTAAGTAATGATTACCCTCGATAATGTGGGTGGGCCTCAACCAATCAGTTGAAAGCCTTAAGAGGAAAACCGATTTCCCTGAAGAAATCCCACCGGTGTCAGCTCTTGTTTCATGAATTGTAGGCTTGCCTAACCAGCTCCCATAATTGTGTGATCCAATTCCTTGCCACATATAAAAACAAGCCGATGAAATGACTTAACCCAGTTCATGGGCCTTTGTCACTGGCTACCACAGCACTGGCATAATGGGTGCATGAGCACAGCAGCCACGATGGCTGAGATGGAGGCCAAGAGGCAATAGCATGAACAGCTTACAACGACTGATGTAGCAGGGCTCCTGACAGGTGACTCTGGCTCAACTCACTTTGGTCTAGCTGAAATCGTCTTAGAACCGCACAAGACTTTTCCTACCTACCCTTCCTTCCTATTTCTTCTCCAGAGGTTAGATCTATATCATAGTCTGACAGCTTTCCCAGACTCCTCGACCCTCCCCCATGACATCCCCCACAAACTCTCCCAAACTCTCCTGCATGTCTAACCAAGGGTCCAAATTAACACACAGGGAAGTCCAACTTAGTGCACTCACTATTAAAGCTCTGGTCTTTCACTTTGCAGGGTCAGAAATCTGACCTTTAATAATTTACCAGGGAGTATTTATTAAAGGTCCTGTGACCTAGTACCTACCAAACTTGTTAAGAGACTGATAGATAAAGCAGAAAGCTAAAAGTCAAAATAAGAAGGAAGTGCCAGGCAGACCAGAAAGACAGACAATGAAGCTGACAAAGGGTTCCCATACCAGCAACAGTGGCTACTTGAAAAAAGGACAAAGGCTAAAAGGTAGCCTGGTATGTCTGGAACACAAAAAGGAAGCTGACTAGTCAAAAATTAGAAACAACCCACATGTCCACCCACTGAGGAGTGCATAAACAAAATGTGCTCTATCAATACAATGAGATATGATACAGCCATAAAAAGGAATGAAGTACTGATACATGTTACAACGTGGAGGACCTCAAAAACACTACATTAGACCGGGTGCAGTGGCACACGCCTGTAATCCCAGAACTTTGGGAGGCCAAGGCAGGTGATCACTTGAGGTCAGGAACTCAAGACCAGCCTGGCCAACATGGTGAAACCCCATCTCTACTAAAATACAAAAATAAAACCCCATCTCTACTAAAATACAAAAATAAGCAAGGTGTGGTGGTGCACGCCTGTAATCCCAGTTACTTGGGAGGTTGAGGCAGGAGAATGGCTTGAACCCAGGAGGCAAAGGTTGCAGCGAGCCGAGATTGCACCAATGCACTCCAGTCTGGGCGAGAGTGAGACTCCATCTTGAATTTAAAAAAATAAAAAATAAAAAATAAAAAAATAAAAAACCACTACACTAAATGAAAGAAGCCAGACACAAAAGGCCATTATTGTATAATTCCATTTTTATGAAAGATCCAGAATAGGCAAACTCATAAAGAGGAAGTCGATTGGTGGTTGCTAGTGACAGGGAGGAGGGAGGAAATGCGGAGTTCTTGTTTAATGGGTACAGGGTTTCATTTTGGGATGATAAAAAATGTTTTGGAACTAGTCAGAGGCAATGGTTACACAACACTGTGGATGTTCAGTACCAAATACCACTGAATTGTTCCCTTTAAAATCGTTAACTTTATGTTATGTGAATTTCACCTCAATACAAATAATCAATACATTGCAAGGAAAAAATGTGGAAAGAGGCATATCAAACAAAAAAGTTTTAATGAAAAAGACAAGACGTTAAAAATTTCTGTAAACAGGAGGGTTTGGGCATGGAGCTGGCTGATTTTAAAAATTCTATCCCATTCGTTCACATCAAACTGTCCAAACCTAGTAACTGGAAATGTCCCAAGATGCTGGGCTGTAAACATCTAACACGAAGACTAGAATTCTAGAATTATCTGGTATTTTCCCTTTCCTAAAAATTCCATCTTCAACTGAGGTCTATGGGTTCAAGAGCCATATTTATGAACCAAAATTCAGGATACATACTCTGGTCCAGGGACAATGGATGGTGCGAAGAATATCCAGGATATCTAGCTGTTGAAACTGCAGCCCTCCCAATGACTCTAATACTCAAGGGATTAAAAGAATCCAGCCCCAGAAGTTTTAGATACAAAAATAGTAACAACCCAACTGAATTTGACTGCATTTAAAAAACATAATTATTTCCAAATCTACTGAGCAGCTGAACAGTCCTCAGTGACGCCTACGGTCACTGGGATTCGAAGATTCCCGCTCCCGGGAGCGCCGGGCCCTTTTATGCCTATGGGATTTATCTCGGCTCCTACTTCTACTTCTATGACTACGCCCTTCGGAACGCCCATTGTACCAGCTAGAATGTGTGTCTGAGCTCCGCCCTCTGTCCCTAATCCTGGTCTTTTCTTCTCTTGCCTCCCTCCTGCTTGAGGACTTGTGCTCGTGCTTGGGTTTCTCCTTCTTCAGGTCCCTCTCTAGGTCCTCTGCTCCACCAGAGTAGGCAGTCCTGGATTTGGGGAGCTTCTGCCCCTCCCTGGGCTCTGCCTTCTGAGCTCTCTCTGAGTTCTTGCTGCTGTGCTTCTTTGGGCCAGGGTCATCCTTTTCCTTTATTGTCTTGCATCTGGGTGATGAAGAGGATGGTTGCTCTGCCTGTACCTCTCGGTCGGCTTTCTCTTTTTCTTTCTTTTTTTTCTTTTTTTCCTTTTTGTCTGGAGGATAAAGGAAAGCAGCAGCAAATAAGAAAAGGTAAAAAAATAAAGAACTCCCTTAAAAAAAACAAAAGCACCTTTCTTTGCTGAATACATTACATCAAACACAGGCACTATAGTTCAAAAACATTCACGGCCGGGCGCGGTGGTTCACACCTGTAATCCCAGCACTTTGGGAGGCCGAGACGGGTGGATCACGAGGTCAGGAGATCGAGACCATCCTGGCTAACACGGTGAAACCCCATCTCTACTAAAAAAAAATACAAAAAAAATTAGCCAGGTGTGATGGCGAGTGCCTCTAGTCCCAGCTGCTCAGGAGGCTGAGGCAGGAGAATGGCGTGATCCCGGGAGGTGGAGCTTGCAGTGAGCCGAGATCGCGCCACTACACTCCAGTCTGGGCGACAGAGCAAGACTCTGTCTCAAAAAAAAAAAAATTCACATGCTAGGAGGCGAGGAATGTGCATAAAGAGAACAACCTTGGCAGCAGCATGAAGGGGCCACTGTCTAGGCCTCCAAGGAGAGTGCCTCGAGAAGCCAACTTGGATGTCTGTCACCCTTGATATGTCAAGTTGCTGTACAAGGTAATTCCCATCCTGAGTTACCTCTTCAAAGACCTTATCTCCAAATGCAGTGGCATTCTGAGGCACTGGGGGTTAGGATTTCACCATATTAACTTGGGGAGAGAGACAATTCTGCCCATAGCACCAGCCTTCCACTGATACTCCCCACTTTCCCAGTTAAACTATGCTTCCCCATACCTTCCCCTTTCACACTTGAGTTGATTCTCAACTATCAATGAATGCAAGGAAGAGCAGACATTAAGGCCATCCAGAATCTTCTCTTAGGTCTTAATGCTTTACCTTTTTTGTGCTTTTTTGTTGGTTTTTCATCTTCAGAGCTCTCAGACAAACTTGGTGAGGGGGTACGAGCCCCACAGCCCTTCTCCTGGAGCTGTCTGGTCACATCATCCATTTCTTCCGAGTCCTTAGGAGCCCGATAGTTAGACACATGATCCACTCGGATAGTTCTTCCTTTGATCTAAGCAAGACAGGCAACGCTTCAGTGAAGACGGCCCTCATACCAAACTGCCAACTATTTGAACACAAGCTACAGAGAACCATGATTTGAACTACATCCTTTACCTTCTTGCTAAATTCTGTCACTAAAGCAGACCTGCCCAACTGGTGTGTCATAGCATATACACCTAAATATTAATTTATACTAATATTTAGTTAATATAATTTTATTATTATAAAATATATAGTGCAGCCTCTCAGTGCAGCCAGGTGAGGCCTGGGGCAATTGTACCAGCAGCCCCATCACTTTACTCCAGGGCACCATGCAAATATCTTCATGTTCTGTATGTGCCATAAAATGAAAAAGACTAGGAAATACTACCTCAGAGCACAAGCATCAGGGAAGACTGAGATTTAGATGCATAATGAATTACCCTTGATCTGTAACCTAAGTTTACAGTGAAACATACCCTAGGAAGGTCTGGCAACTAGAAGGAATTCTTGAAATCTGGCTTAATGCTACAACTGCTTTCTCGACCCAGTAATTAGGAGGCAAAGTCAGACCAACAGTTTGGAGGGAGAAAGGAATCGAGAAAAAGGCACTTGCTTTTTTCTTCAGCCCTCACACCTTGCTCTAGCCCCACCATACTGGAACAATAGGCTCACACTGATTCTTGCACTATGAATCACAACTCTCCAGGTGAACAACAACAAAAAATTAACCCCTCTGGTCGGACGCAGTGGCTCACACCTGTAATCCCAGCACTCTGGGAGGTCGAGACGGGTGGATCACTTGAGGTCAGGAGTACGAGACCAGCCTGGCCAATATGGCAAAAATTTGCCGGGTGTGGTGGTGCACACCTATAATCCCAGCTACTCAGGAGGCTGAGACAGGAGAATCACTGGAACCCAGGTGACAGAGGTTGCAGTGATCCAAGGCCACGCCACTGCACTCCAACCAGGACAACAGAGTGAGACCCTGTCCCCCTCCCCCCGCCCCCCAAAAAATTAACACCTCACTTAAAATAAAAACATTCTATTTTTAGGCAGATACAGACTTACTCTCTAGGCAAAGCCATTCAAAATTTAAAGTTTGGCTTTTATTGTTCCAATACAAGAGCAGATTTTTATTTTTACCTTGAAGCCTGAGCGGCTTCTGTTATGTATCCTCTTCTCCATTTTGAAACACTTTGGAAAACCTTCCTTTTACAATGACGCCCTCTGACTGCTGGCTTCCTTAAACATCAAGCCTAGAACCTTGTTCCACTCTGTTCTATAATCTCCAGCTATCCCATACTCGTGAATCAGTGACAAACTCTCCAACTCAAGCCTCCCCACACCAACTCTGTGACACTGTTCATTTCAACTGCAGCTTTTTTCCTAAATGAGTGCAGCAACCACATGGAGCATCAATACGCCTGACTTGCCCTATCTCCTTCTAAGAACTCAGTGCCTCACTTACGACAGTGGAAATAAGAGGGATCTGGGGGGAGAAAATTTCAGGATGAAATTACTTTTGTAGAATCTGTCATCGGATTTTAACTAGAGAATTTCTAGAGCCCAATATGCTAGGTCACTGGAGATACATGACAGGCATACATGGGTATGTCCTAGATTATGAGGCCATGTTGAAGCCCAAAACTCCCAACACAGGACAATATGGAAGAGCAATGTTTGCTAGTCTCTTCATCCTCCAGTGCACCAGAAATGATAGTAGACAGTAAAAAAAGAAAGGTGAAAAACAGAGGCCTGGATGAGAGGCAGGCCTGGTGCCTATGCTCCTGGGGAGATGGTTTGTTTACAGATGGGGAAAAGAAGCAAGTACTGCAGGGCCACGAGCCAACAGAATTATTTCCTGGAATCTCTTCTTGACCAGCGTCTCCACATCTCTGCAGCCCCCGCAACAAACCAAGCTGACAAGTGCTGCCCTTGTGTCTGTGGGAATCAGGTAGAAAAAGAAACACCTATACATGGGAAAAAAGTCCAACCAATCTGCTTAATAAGCACACTCACCTTGATCCCATTAAAATTGTCGACGGCCAGAATTGTGCTCCTCTGGTCTTCATAGCAGAGGAAACAGAACCCTTTGGATTTCCCAGTTTTCTTGTCCCGCACGAGATTAATGTTAACAATCTCGCCATATCTATTTATTTTATAAAAGAGTAAGACATTATTGACTTAAAAGGCAAAAACATGCAGATAAGGTAATAAAACAAAATTCAAATAACATAGTGTGTACAAGAGATACATCTAGAACAGGATGACACAGAAAGGTTGCAAAGAAAAAGTCAGACAAGTACAGGAACACCCAATTAAAAGTGGGTGGCAATATCCAGAGCAAAAACTAATTCAAGGCCAAAATAAAAATATCACATGAGACTAAGATTATTTTACACTGAAAAAGGCCTAAATACACAATAAAGGTATACATCAGGAAAACTCTGAGTCAATTAAGAAATCAAACATTTTAATTAAAAAAAGCTATTAGAAATGCAAAGAGAAACTAAGAGAGAAAGTTATGGGAGAATTTAACACATCACTTTGAAGTTTATCACGCATAAAGTGGACAGAAATAAAATAAAATCAGATGAATTAATACACATAATTATACTAACAAATATTAATGTAGGACTATTAGATACATAGATATCTTTGAATACTACAAGATGACATTTTCAAGAATCCATGAAGCATGTATTAAAATTGACTATGGATTAGGTCTCAATGTAAACCTCAATAATTATACCAAAAAAAAAAAAACAGAACAGACCATGTTTCCAATTATAATGTTATAAAGCTGGAAATGATATTGTAAATAAAAAACACATTATCTAACTAGAACTTGAAAGCTACTGTCCTAACAACTGCATGAAAGAGAAAATGAAGCAAAAAAAAAAAAAAAAAATCAATGGTAGACTATTTAGAAAATAGCAAAAATGAGAAAAATATATACCAAAACTTATGAAATGTGGCTAACGTCATACTCAGGAAAATTTGTAACATTAAAAGACTTTTATTGTGAAAACAAAGGATGAACATAAAGGAAGAAAGCAAACCTAATGAAAGCAGATGGGAGTTAATATAGATAAAAGCAGAAATTAGGCTAGGCATGGTGGCTCATGCCTGTAATCTTAGCATTTTGGGAGGCCAAGGTGGGAGGACTGTTTGAGGCCAGCAGTTCGAGACCAGCTGGGGCAACTGAACAATACCCTGTCTCTCAAACAAACAAACAAAAAGGCAGAATTAAATAGAAAAAAAAAAAAAAAAAACGCCAGGCATGGTGGCTCACACCTGTAATACCAGCACTTTGGGAGGCAGGAGGATTGTTTGAGGCCAGTAGTTCGAGACCAGCCTGCACAACAGAACAAGACCTTGTCTCTTAAAAAAGCAAACAAACAAAAAGGAAGAATTAAATAGAAAAAAAAAACCAGGCACGGTGGCTCATGTGCATAATACCAGCACTTTGGGAGGCCGAGGCCATAGGATCACTTGATGCCAGGAGTTTGAGACCAGCCTGGACAATACAGCAAGACCCCTGTCTCTACAAAAAAAAAAAAAATTGTTTTAAATTAGCCAGGCATAGTGTACACCTGTAGTCCCAGCCATTCAGGAGGGTACATGGGGAGGATCACTTGAGCCCAGGAGTTAGAGGCTGCAGTGAGCTAGGATCATGCCACTGCACTCCAACCTGAGCAAGAGAGTGAGACCCTGTCTCAAAAAAAGAAAAAACGTTAGGAAAAAAAAGACTACCTTACTCCTTACAAAAAGATAAATTCCAGGTAAGTTAGAGGTTTATAAATTTAAAAATAAAGTCATAAAAATAAAATAGGAATTGATAGATGTTACATGATCACATACACACACTTCAGCCCAAAATCTAGCATCCTACTTAATGAGAAATACTAGAGCCAATTCAACTAAGTTTAGGAACTATTTAATACTAAATTGGAGGTATAGGCCAATGCAGTTAGATAAAACAGATACAATAAATGAAAAGAGGAAGTAACACTACCTTTTTGTAGATTACATATGACAGTTGCCCAAGAGCTCAAGGCTACAGTGAGCTATAGTCTTAACACTGCACTCCAGTGTGGGTGTCAGAGCAGGGCCCTGTCTCAGAACAATCAATTAAATTAAAATGCTAACAGCTGGGGGATCTGGGTGAAGGAGATACAGATATTCTTTATATCATTTTATAATGTTCCTGTATTAAGCCTGAAATTATTTCAAAACAAGAATTGAAACAAAAAAGAATACAGGCACTGGCTTGAAGGAACTCATGTTGACCCTCAAATAGGGAAAATTTGAGCATCAAGAAAGAATAATGATAAGTATAACATATCAAATTAAGAAAAAGTAAGTCCATAGTACAGGCTGAGCATCCCTAATCTGCAAATCCAAAATTCAAAATGCTCCAAAGTCTGAAACATTTTGAGCACCAACATGATGTCACAAATGGAAAATTCCATATCTGACACCTTTAATTTCTGATGGTTCAATGTACACGAACTTTCACACACAAAATTATTGAAAACATTGTATAAAATTACCCTCAGTCTATGTGTGCAAGTTGTATATGAAACATAAATGAATTCTGTGTTTAGATCTGGGTCCCAGCCCCAAGAGAGCTCATGACGTTTATGCAAATTGGAAACACTTCTGGTCCTTTGGTCCCAAGCGTTTTGTTTTTCTTTTCTTTTCTTTTCTTTTTTTTTGGAGACAGAATCTCACTCTGTCGCCCAGGCTGGAGTGCAGTGGTGCTATCTTGGCTCACTGCAACCTCCACCTTCCCAATTCAAGTGATTCTCCTGCCTTGGCCTCCAGAGTAGCTGGGACTACAGGCACCCACCACCACACCTGGCTAATGTTTTGTATGTTAGTAGAGATGGGGTTTCACCACGTGGCCCAGGCTGGTCTCACTCCTGAGCTCAGGAAATCCACCTGCCTCGGCCTCCCAATGTGCTAGGATTACAGGCATGAGCCACCGCGCCCAGCCCCAAGCATTTTGGATAAGGGATATTCAACCTGTAATACAATACACAACAAAGTGCTAGAGCAAAGAGTTAATATCCTTCATACATGAAGGGCTCATGTAAAATCAACAAGAAAATAAGGAAAATACTTGTAGAAAAAAGTTGGCAAGGGTATGAATAGACAATTTACAAAGAAAAAGAATAATGGGCTGCAAATCTAGAAACAGATGTTCAACCTCACTGATGATGAAATAAAGGCAAAGCAAAGTAATAATGAGAAGCCCTTTGGCAAATATTTTTTAAAATCGCCACTGTTAATCAGGATTCAGAAAAATGGGCATTCTAGTGAGTGTGGAAATTGGTACAACCTTTTGGAGAGCAATTTGGCAATGTTTATAAAACATCTTTAAAATGCTAACATATTGATCCAAAGAGACCATGAGGGATGCATACAAAAATGTATATACTATAATGCACACTGCAGTATAATTCATAATAGCAAACCACTGGAAATAACATCCAGCATTTTTTTAAAAATGATAAAGAGATATGCCAAAACATTAAGGTTTTCCTTAAGAGTGTGTTCTATTTTCTTCTTTATACTTTATTTTGCCAAATGTTCTATAATGACTATATATTACCTTCAAAATAAGAAACAAAGTAGATTTCTTTTTTTTTTTTCTTTTCTTTTTTTTTTTTTTGAGATGGGGGAATCTTGCTTTGTCCCCCAGGCTAGAGTGCAATGGTGCAATCCTGGCTCACTGGAACCTCCACCTCCTGGATTCAAGCAATTCTCCTGCCTTAACTTCCCAAGTAGCTGGGATTACAGGCGCGCACCACCATGCCTGGCTAATTTTTGTATTTTTAGTAGAGATGGGGTTTCCCCATGTTGGCCATGCTGGTCTCAAACTCCTGACCTCAGGTGATCCGCCCACCTCAGCCTCCCAAAGTGCTAGGATTACAGGCGTGAGCCACCATGCCCAGCCAACAAAGCAGTTTTTTGAAAGGCACTGTTATCAGCGGCAATCTTCATGGAGAGCAACGTGTGTAACCAGAATAGAGAATGGAGAATTAGAATAAACAAACAAGCACACGTGCTAGCTGATCATCACTCAATGCAAGTAGAACTAAACAGCTCCAAGAGGGAAGGCTGAGTAGAAGTACACAAAGGGGTAGAAATTATAGGCTGCACCTGCTGTGAACCTTGCAACATCCACAAGTTGAAGGAAGCAATCTTTGTCCCTGCCAGGGCCCTCCACTCGTGTGGGTTGCCCAGGTTCTCTATCACAGCCTTCTTCTCACGGGTATTGCCCAATTCCTTTCCCATGGCTTGCTGCCCCATAAGTGGCCCAACCACTCAGCCAGGGCCCTCTGTCCATGGATGGCCCTACCATCCTGCCATAGCAATCCCTCTGCCAGTGTATGCTACCTGTGTTTGCTTGGCCAGCCCCTTTTGCCATGGTCTGCTACCTGTACATGCTGTCCAACTTCTCTGAAACAGTACTATGCTCTGAAGGCCTACAAAACCCAAATGTAGTGGTCCTTTGCACCTGTGCCAAGATCCTCTGGCCCTGTGGACTAACTGTGCTGTTTACCTCTGGGGTTGCAGGCCAGCTGCCCAGCCCCTCTCCTACTAGCTGCTACTACCAGTATGAGCCACCAACACCCTCTCCCACCAAATGCTGCTGCCAACACCTCAGCAGAATGAAGAATATACAGATCTCCTATTCATTCTTGTTCCTCGTCAGGCTGTGATTCTCAGCCTCCAGGTAGAGATTGGCTTTGCTCACTAACCTTACATTCATTGAGAATCAAAGAAAGCAAACTACAACCTTCTTTCTGTTTTTCATCCCAATTCCTCTGTGGTTTGCCCCAGTCGTATGATGCCACACAGGCAAGGACCAGAAGGGCCCTGTGACCATGGGTTACCCCTAGTTTGCAAGAGCCCAAGGAGGCGTACCAATATGGAACCTTCCTGAGGGTTCCAGTCTGTTCCAGTCTAGGCCCAGGCTGAACAAACCTCAGTGAAAAACAACAGAAATAGACTAGAATCCCCAAGATGGCCTCCCAAATTAACAAACCTCTTGGATCTCCCACAGGAGAACATTCTAGAACCATGTCCTGGGACTGATCTAGACTAGAGCAGAAGCTCCAGCCCTCCCCATGCAGGGACGCCATTCAGCCTAGAGTGAAAATAAGTGGTTTTTGTGATGCCACAAAATGCATTACAGAAAAAAGTACTCTGTCGACTCAGGAGGCAGGAAATGAAAGGGGACTTACTGTGAGAACACACAGATGATGTCCCCTTCAGTCAGTTCATAAGGAAGCCCTCCTAGAAAAGAAAACCACATTTCAGTTCCACCAACATTTACCAAGTGTTTACTACGTACCATGCACTAGGCCAGGCACTAGGGGTGCAAACAGTAAGCAACAGGCCCTGCCCTTAAAGAAATCAAGTCTGGGCTGGGCACCATGGCTCACGCCTGTAATCCCAGCACTTTGGGAGGCCAAGGCGGGTGGATCACCTGAGGTCAGGAGTTCGAGACCAGCCTGGTCAACATGGCGAAACCCCGTCTCTACTAAAACTACAAAAAAAATTAGCCGGGCGAGGTGGCGGGCACCTGTAATCCCAGCTACTCAGGAGGCTTAAGCAGGAGACTCGCTTGAACCCAGGAGGCAGAGGTTGTAGTGAGCCGAGATCACGTCACTGCACTCCAGCCTGGACAACAAGAGTGAAACTCCAACTCAAAAAAAAAAAAAAAAAAAGAAAGAAAGAAATCAAGTCTGATGCAATGACAGAAGTACATGTAAGGTGCCAGTAGAACAGGAAAAGGAGTGACTAATTTTGAGTGGAAGTCAGTGTCACCACTAACAAAAGTAAACTGATCACTCAGTCCTCCTGGCACCCAAAATCCTATGGGCAAAGCAGATAGTTTCCATCACAAACCTCTGCTTCCACAAACATGTTGAATTCATCTGCTCATTACCCACAAATTTACAGCTATGATACAAAATTAGTCTATATATGTCATGATTAACCCCACCTACACATAGACAAAGGTTATAAAGACACTGTTAAGCATTTCCTAGGGAATAATTTCCCTTCCAAATGTTTCTTTCCTCATCTGTAAGATGGGGATATTAGCAGGTAACTCGCAAGACTGTTATAAGAGTTAAATAAAACGATGCATATAAAGTGCTTAGCACAACGTTTTTACAATAACCTCTTTGAAGCATCAAACTTGTACAATTACTGGTTGTGATATAAAGTGAATACAGTAATGGTAGTGTGGCCATGGTCAGAAAGCAGGAGCTAGAGGAGCAAAGTGAATTCTGCAAGGGAAGGGGAATGGGGGAGGGCGGTGGTAGCAATATGGGGCTGTGGCTAAGACCATGAGTTCTAGAAAGCTATAGTTCTGCCTGTTGCGGTTATTAGCTATGTGACCTTAAGGAAGTCCCTTAACTTCTCTGCACCCCAATTTCCTCAGCTGTAATAACGGGTCAGGGGGTGAGAGAGAAATAACAACAGTCCCTGAACCTTAGCACAGCAAATGGCAAACAGTAACTCTCATGAGCACTGATTTGGCTGGGAAGGAAAACTAAAAATGGGGCAGAAAAAAAAAAAAAAAAAAAAAGATGGAACACGGATTCCCGGGCAGACAGCAGATGGATATAAAGGAGGGCAATGAATGTAAGCAGGAGTGAAGGGTGAAAATGCTGAAATAGTCGGACACCGAGCAGGAGAATCTTGGGAGCACTGCGGAAGAAAGATGTGCACCTCACCCAGGAAGATCCAGGCGCTGTCCTTGTACTCGGAGTGCCAGGACACTTTATCGGCCACCCCAAGCTGGACCTCTCGTTCATTCAGCTCGTTGATCAGCTTCACCTTAGTTAAAGGACTTCACGGTGGCGGGGGGAAGGGGAGGCAGAAAAGCAGACAAGTAAATGCTAACCGGCCGAAGCTGAAGAAGAGCAAAACAAGGGGACGAGCTGTGCTAGTCCCCGCGCCTCTCCCGCCCCTCGACCCCGCAGACGCTCTACCACCCCAGCCCCGGTAGACCACCCTCAGCGGCCCGCTGCTCGTTCCTCAAAAGGAAGCTGACGCCTTACTTCATCTCCGCGGGCTCGCGCTCAGCATTCAGGAATCAGCGCCCGGGAAAGGCAGCGCCGCGCATGCGCGGCCCCGGCGCCGGTGGCTCGTCGAGTCGGTGACCTCGCGCCGGAAGAGCTGGGGCGTACCGGGGCGTGGCGCCTGCGCACTAGAAGCCTTCCGCGTTCTTTGCAGTTACCTCTTGTAGAAACGGTTTTTCTCTAATTTTTCGCTTTTTCTCCTCTGTGAAATGGGGTAAAGGCACGAGCCTGGGCTGTTGCAGGACCCCCAGCTCTTGAACGATATCGGAAACTGGTTAGATTAGCTATAAATATTTGCTGAATGAACGGAATAAGCAGCCTGATGTGGCGACTTTAGTCTCAGCCCTCGCTCCCAGTCCAGAGTCCCACTTGGACCTTCGCTCCTAGTCAGTTGCTCACGCACAAACCCATCAAAGCATCCCTGTCATGGCAGAAAAGTGAAGAAGATAGGTGAAAAGGTAAATCTTCTGTTGTTCTTATCCCAATACATAGGCAACAGACCAGTGTGCCTCTATAGGCTGAATTGAATACCTACAGATTCGCATGAGAGCCGCTGCACTTACTCTTTTCCATAGGCTCTCTCCTAGTTGAGCAGGAGACAGAAATTAATATTGTTAAATTAATAGCTAGCAAGTGAGCAGATGATGTACTGTATGATACTAGAGTATGTGCTAAGCAATTTACATGTATTGTCTCTCCACCCTCACAACAACCCAATGAAGCAGATAAAATTACAATTCCTGGCCGGGCGCAGCAGCTCATGCCTGTAATCCCAGCACTTTGGGAAGCTGAGGTAGGAGGATTGCTTGAACTCAGGAGTTTGAGACCAGCCTGGGCAACATAGCAGAACCTGTCTCTAAAATAAAGGAAAAAGGGGGGGGCCAGGTGTGGTGGCTCACACCTGTCATCCCAACACTTTGGGAGGCTAAGGCAGGTGGATCACCTGAGGTCAGGAGTTCAAGACCTACCCAGCCAACATGGTGAAACTCTGTCTCCTCTAAAAATACAAAAATTAGCTAGGCATGGTGGCACACGCCTGTAATCCCAGCTACTCGGGAGGCTGAGGCAGGAGAATCACTTGAACCTGGGAGGCAAAGGTTGCAGTGAGCTGAGATCGCACCACTGCACTCCAGCCTGGGCAGCAGAGCGAGACTCCTTGTTTTAAAAAAAAAAGAAAGAGAAAGTAAAAGAAATTTCCACCCTCGTTTTGTAGAGGAAGAAATGAGGCTCAAATGAATAAATTAACTAGAAAGGTACTAGAGTACCTGCACCCAGTAGGTCAGGTTGATTCAATCAGTCCTTACTGAACATCTAGATTTGTCCTGTGCAGCTAAGGTCTGTAGACAGGAGTATCAGGGTGGGTCCTCTGCCCTCAAGGAGCTAATATTATAATTAAGGGGACAAGATATATTTGCCTGATAGATTTCAACCAGAAATATCTAGAAACCAGTGGAAGAGATGATTAACATATAATATGTGATTTAACCCATATTGACAGTTTGAATCCATTTTGCACATGTCCACATCAGTACCTGCTCTTGGACCATGATGTTCTAAAAGTAAAAGTCCAGAGCTGTGTGGCCTATCTCAGAGCACCAGATATTAGGTCCTTCATAAAAACATTTTGATGACGATACCAACTGTACCCTCAAGTGGCCCACCATGTAACCAATGTCCTGCCAAAAAGGAGAACAGAGCCTGCCCACCAATGACAGTTTCTCCTCATTCATTCTATGTCTGTTCCCCCTTCCCCATTCCAACCTAGCTATTCATTAACTTTGTAAAATTATCTTGGCAATGAAAGCTAAACAGTGACAGATTGCATATGGGGTTTATCTGCTCCTAGGAATCTCAGGTTGCTTAGTTGTGGGTTGAAGTAGCCACTGCAGAGTGATAAACTAGCATGCAGCATTATCTTGCTGACTCTTTCAAATGGCTGTGAAATGAGAGAGTTAAGACTATACCTGGGGATAAGTCATCAGTGTTCCAAGAGAAGCTGGAGCAAAAGAGTAGAATAAGACCAATTTAGATTGAGAACATGAGAAGGCTATTATTACTATGCAGCTGGTAGGTTCAGCAGAGCTATTCTGAAGGTGAGAGAGCTGAATATTGCTTCAGTTTTCCTGGAACTGAGAGGTTTCTGAGACTTCTGACCTTTGGAGCTAAAATTGGCAACCCCAGAACAAACCAGGATGGTTGATCACCCTAGGAGATCCTGAAGTAAATAACGAAGCAAGGAAGTCAGACTTTCCATAGATGTACTTGCAATTGACAGGAATTGGTAGGTAAGGTGATGCCTAGAGATATCCATAAGTATGAGTTGAAAAGAGGTGGGGATGCAGAGGACCCTCTGAACTTAACATCTGAAAGTAGAACCAGGGTTTGGCATCCAAGGTGGCTGTAAGTGATCTCCACCAGTAACATCCATTTAGCAAATATTCTATGCAGTATTTAGTTCTAGCTTCGGAGGGTAATGCTAAGGTAGTCAATGGCAGTCCCTGCATTCAAGGAAAGGCTGAACTATCTATCTAGCCAGAGTCATCTCCCAACTTCCCACCACCACACCACACCCCCAAACAGTTTTTCCCCCAGACTACCCTATTTTGGACAATGTTATCACCATTTTCCTGGTTGCCCAGGCTCAAAAACATGGGTTTCATATTTCAGTCTTCCCTATTCTTCACCTCAACATATGTATCCACTCACCAAGTCCTAACAATTGTACTATTGCAGTATCTATAAAATGTGTCACTTCCAGTCACAGTCCTGAGTCATTAGCACATGCCTCCTGGCTCTTTCAGTACTCTTCTAGCTGCTCCAGCCCCTATTCTCCATTCTCTTCTGTCACTGTTCTCCACTTAAAGGCTCAACTTAAGCCAGGCTCCACTTCTATCCATTCCCTCAGAGGCCCCTTTCATCATCCCACCTTGGCACCTCTTCTGAGAGAGCCTTAGACCCCTGGGCCACCCTCCTCTCTCTTACTAAAATCTGCCCAAGCCCCAAACCCCCAACAAGTCATCCATCATGCAGGAAACCTTTCCTGATCTTATGACCCCACAGTGATGGCTCTTACTTCTTACTCTGTAACACTACAAAACTCCTTTATGTTCTTCTCCCAGAAAGACTATGAAATCCTGGAAGGTGAAGGCTCTGCATGTATAAGCTCCTCAGAACCTCAAGCCTCAAACATTTTCCTACATACATAGAATGCAACCAATATACTTATTGGTTAATGAAATTGAAAAATCACACAACTATGATTACCTAAAGGAAAACAGATGAGGGTAGGGGTAGAGAAGACTTTATTTTATATTCCCTTTGTTCCTTTCTGTATGGTTAGAATTTTCTTTTTTTATTTTTATTTTTATTTATTTATTTATTTTTTGAGGCAGAGTCTCACTCTGTTGCCCAGACTGTAGTGCAGTAGTGCGATCTTGGCTCACTGCAACCTCTGCCTCCAAGGTTCAAGCGATTCTCCTGCCTCAGCCTCCCAAGTAGCTGGGATTACAGGCATGTGCCACCACAGGAAGACAGGGAGGACGCCATGTAAGTGTCTGGGAAAAGAATATTGTTCTGAGACAGTGTATTTCAGAAACAGCAAGGAGGCCAGTGTGACTGGAGAGGAGCAGGCAAGGGGGAGAATGATACATTTTTGTTTATTTGAGAAAATCTTACTTAGTACCTACCATGTACCTGACACTGTTCTAGGTACTTTACATGTATAAATTCATTTACTTCTTGCAACAACCCTATGAGACAGATATTATTATCCTAATTTGGTAGATGAGAAAACAGAGGCACAGAGAGGTTAGGTTGCTTGCCCTAGGTCACACAGCTGGTAAATGGTAGAACCAGGATTTGAATCCAGGTCATACGGCTCCAAAGTCTGCACTCTTAACCTCTATACACAGGATAAGTTGAGGTAAGGAGAACAGATCAAACATGGTCATGTTGGGTACTGGCTTCGGAATTTACTCAATGTGAGATAGGGAGTCACCAAAGAACTTTGATCTGATGTACATTTTAGTAGGTTCACCTTAGCTGCTGTGTAGATAACAGACCAGGGAGTGGGCAGGGGATGCCTACAGTAGAAGCAGGAAGACCAGTTTGGAAGCTCTACAATAAATCAGACGACGGATGATGGTGATTTGTCTCCAGGTGACAGCAAAGAAGATGGTGTTCCATGCCGGTATTGTTCCAAACTGAAAAAATATTGTATTTTTAAATAAAAATAAATAAGAACACACATGACACCAACATAAAGGCACATCCTGTGTTTGTCAGTGCTCAGACACTGGCCTTGATGCTGGGGATACTATAGTGAACAAGACCACAAGACCCAGTCCCTGCCCTTGAGCAGCTCACAGTGTTACAAGATAGTTACAGATATAAATAAGCACTTTGTATTCCAGGTGATGAATGTCATATTGAATGTATGAGTGAAATGCCTTTAGAACCAGCTGAGTGATAATTAATTCTGATGTTGGGGGTCAGAGGAAGCTGGGGGTGGAAAGTAGATTGTCAGGGAAAGTCACATAGAGTCATGTGACTGTTGAGCTGGGCCTTGAAGGCAGTCACATGTAGATGGAAGATGCAGGATGGGTACCACACAGAAACAGCATTTCAAGCAGTGGAAACACCAGAGGCAAGAGCATCAAAGTGTGGAAAGCATATGATGTGACAAGGTGATGGGATGGGGCAGAGTGGTAATGGCTGAAGATAAGGATGGAAGAGTTCTGGCCATTTTGTGAAGGGCCTTGTAGAAGAAGCCAAGAAGTTCTGATTCTAGCTAGTAGACAATGAGAAGTGATTGTATAGCTTAATCATTCAGTCATTCAACCAGTCAACCAGCTGACCACTTTTGTTGAGGACTTGCTATAGGCAGATACTGCTTTAGGTTCTGAGAATATAAAGGTGAACATGTTCAGCCTATAAGAAAAACATATATGTGGGGACAAAAACATAATCTGAGCATGTTTCTTTGAGCCTGGGAGTGACA